GACTGGCTACTTTTATGTTTTCTCGACGTTTAATGACCCCTACAGCACGAAAAAATAGGTCCCCGTTTCCATCTGTCCTCTGTTCAGATCTTTACTAAACAGAAATCTCAGGAATTGTTCGTAGTAAGTAGGATTTAAATTATCTAAAATAACATACTTACAACATATTTAGGGTGGGTGGGCGGTTTCTAGTAATTGCTAAGATAAGACTGATTTTGGCAATTGATATACCTTCTAAGAAAATAGAGGGCGGGTGGGCGGGGGTAGTACCTGCTAAGATAAAACTGATTTTGGCAGATGTACCATCTAAGAGAGTGGATGGGCGGGACTAGTAGCTACTAAAGTAAGTCCGATTTTGGCAAATAACATACCCTGTAAAAAAAGAGAGGGCGGGTGGGTGGGGCTAGTACCTCCTAAAATAAGATCGATTTTGGCAAATGCTAAGATGAGACTAATTTTAGTAAATGACGTATCCTCTAAGAAATTGAATTAAACTATTATAAAAAAGACACTAGAGGCTCCAAGGCACTTTCAAATTCTTTCCAAACAGGAATACCTAGAACCTCAAAATTGTTTTAACTTTTTCAAAAAAAAATGGTTCCAAAATTAACTCAAAAACCGGTGAAATCGGAATTTTCCAAAAATAGAACACCAAACTCCCCCAAAATTCGTTTACATAATTTACAAAAAAATCTCCATGGGCTTCCAAAATAATACACCGTGGGTACCCAAACACTGCGGCACTCAAGACTTTTTCAAACTCGTAAATAATAAAACACTAAAAACTCAAAAGATTTTTTCAGATTTATTTCTAAATAAAACACGGGGCCGTAATTTTCCAAACACCCGGTATATGTATAGGTATTTACTTTTCTTTCGAAAGCTATTTTTCCTTAAATCTTGAAGTTGTCGGCAAAACTTTACTCACTTTAATTCTGTTTTTCAAAAATTTGGGATCTTTTCGAACACAATGAGAATTTAGAACAGTTCTCAAAATATTAAAATTTGCTGTAAATTCTTCAAAATGTAAAAGAATAATTTTGTTGTTGCGAGAGAAGAAGTGGATTTTATATTGACAACCAAAACAAAAATAGACAACCCTCCCATCTTCGCGTTTGCATGTTTTGGCTTATTTCATTTATGGTAAGATAATTAAATTATATTTTGACAACTGGTCAAATCCAATAAAAAAAAGTGGCTCCGCCCACCCACCCGATTTTATTTCTTATCACCGTTTTGTTGTAGAAAAAGTGGATTTTATATTGAATAAATACCGGAATCTCGACAAAAATCAAAACCCATCCCCACTTTTAAAACAATTCAAAGTGGCTCCGCCCACCCACCCGGTTTTCTTTCTGATCACTAATTGCATTGGACAAAAAATGGTTTTTATATTAATAAACAACGGAATCTAGAGAACAAGGTAAAACTAACCCCACCCACCTCCGCTCTTGAATTTCATTGACTTATTTTATTTACTTTGAGATGAAAATTGAATTTTATTTTCTCAAGTGCTTAAAAAATTCAAAGTGTACTTGTGATTTATGAATCCGCCTTGAGATTTTCCCCGAACAAACCATAGATGGAGGACAAGTACACTCCTGAGCAATTATAAACAAGTTAATAGAGTGTGTTTTTGTAACATAATATGTTCGAATCACAAACAGTGGCGGAGTATGGGTGATTAAATTAAGATAATTTAATGAATTTAGAAAAACAAGCTCTATAAGAATCTCTAAATATATGTGTATAGAGTACACTGTAAAGAAAAATGTAATTTTTCCGCACGTAAATATAATAATTACTCATTTTAAAGAAGTGATTTTGCCTTAGTTTTGACGTGAAATTTAATTTTTTTACAGTGTATCACTAAAAATTCCTGGATGTCGTAAAACACATATAGGATATCGTTTAGCTTCTTACACTATTACTGGTATTATCTATATTTGTTTTAATGTTTAGAAATTATCACAAATAAAATTTCGTAATGTTTTAATTTTTCAAAGAAACAGAATTATTGGATTGTGCTTCAGGAGCGAAAGAAGTCCTGTCGAAATAACCTTCGATATTTTTTTTTTATTTTTAAATTAAACAAATAATCTCCTGATCTCCAAAGTAAAATTCTCTTATTTTAATGTAAAAAATTGGTCGAAAGTTATTTCGGCAGCATTTCTCTTGTCCGTGACATAATAAAACATATCCAGTTTTTTCGAAAAATTGCGAAATTTGATGTTGTGAATTTGATTTATTTTTTATGAGAACCCTTATAAGTTAAAAATAAAGATATGCATGTAATCTTAAAGTAAGTCCTGAACTAAATTTTCGAAAATATCAAACTTGAAAAATTAACTTCGTAATTCTAATCTTCTCAATACACGTTTAAATATTTACCAAGAACTCCTTTAACCACTTTTTTCTGGGATTCTTCAGTGGTTTCTTAACAACGTAGCATAGAGCTTATCGGTGACTTATTTATTACCCTGTACAAAAAATTCCATTTAATTGCTTTTCGTATTTTCACTGTTATATTTGCTACAATGCAATGAGTTTTCAAAAATTCAATAAACCATGTAAAAAAACGTAAAAATTAGGTATAATGCTTGAGGATCAAATCTCATCTTAGCAAGTACAAGCCCCGCCCACTCGCCCTCTATTCAATCTTGTCTTAGCAAATATTAATATAAAAAAATATATAATTTTCCTACATGCTTCACAAAACAATTCCCCGTTTTCTACTTAAAAAACGTCTTCGTTTTTTGTCCATTCCCTAACTTATCCTTTAAAGGCGATTTGACTTCGAGTATTTTTAAAAATGGCACAAAATACTAGATGATAAACAATTTTTAAAACACTTTTACACTTTTGAACTTCACTTTACGAAAACCCAACACGAACTAATTGATATAAAAGAGAAGTCGAAAAGAAAGTTGTCGGAGGGCTTGGTGTATTTAACACATCAAAGCCCTTCTTAGAAAAGCAAGAAACTACTTGTGTCGGGATTTATAAATGGGTGTTTTAATCATTTTAAAACCTATTTTATGTCATTTGCCAAAATCAATCTTGTCTTATGATACACCCTTCTATTTTCTTAGAAGGCATCATTTGCCAAAATTAGTCTTATCTTAGCGCAGTACAAGCCCCGCCCACCTGCCCTCTATTTTCGTAAAGGGTATACCATTTTCCAAAATCAGTCTTATCTAAGTACTAGCCCCGCCCACCCGCCCTCTCTTCTAATACCGAATTTAAAGTTTTATTGAAACAGAATAAAACAAGAAATATACGGAATTTTCATTACCTTTTTTCTCATAAGTCATAAAAAATTTGGTATCAACTAAAACCTCATTGTCTACGTCAAGTCGAAGTTTCTGCAAATTTATGGTAAATTAGAGAAAGTAGAGCGTAACCATTAATTATTCTTTATCGGTTATATTCATTAAACCTACAACTAAAATACCCGTCCTGGCCTTTCAGAATCTTGATAATAATTTTCCGTAGTCCCCTTACTGATTAAAAAAATGGTACCGAATTAACTAAAAGTACTTATAAAAAAGTGAAAACAATTTCCATACACTGCTCTCTAAAAGTACAAGCAATAATTTTCCCTCATTTTATTTAAAATCTGAACCTTCTCAGTTCTCTATAACTGTACCTTACTGTAACAACAATTAGCGTTTTTGCGCAGAAAGTGGAAGTACAAAGACCACAAATCTTCATTTTCACAGATTTCCCAAAAGTGTATTGTTTGTTTAAGTCGTTACAATAAAAAACGCTGATATATCTCCGGACAAAAACCCGCGGGTACTCCTGAGAACCGCATGATGAGTTCCCACTTTTATCACCCAAAACACTTTCAACGTCAATCCTGTTACAATACTCGCTTTCATGCAGTACCATTATCAAATTATCATAACATAAACGCAAAATTAGCATAACGATGACTACTTATTGTGTACACTTATGGTACTCCTTGACAAAACGAGAAACTCGAGAAGGTACTGTTAAGCAAGATCCTTGCTTTCGATGACAGAACAAATATCCATTAATGTAAAGTTACAACCTTCCATTTCTTGGAGAAATAAAACAGAAATTACTTTTCTTATTATAGCGGTAGGGCGGTACTCGAATGACAGCACCTGCACTTAAAAGCAATTACGATTTTTACCGAGGGAGGTCGAAACTGCAATTAAATAAAGCAGCACCGAGAACGGCGGTACCAATATTTGGTAACGATTGATGAGTATCAGGCAGAACAGGGTTACTGCCCGTAACAACGGTAGTTACTTCCAAGAATCCAGTCGTCGTAGATAACGTAATTAAAATGTGGTTTTCAACTGTTATAACTTACATAATTCCGTTTCTCAATTTTTGTAGCCCGACTATGCAAATGCAACATCCAAATTTATTCGATTCTCATGCTAATGGGCTTGAGGCTACGTTAATTAAAATCGTTGTGGTAAATAAATATATAAGTTGCAACAACGCGACAGTTATCTGCATCTCACAGATATTAACACATCTGACTGCATACAAAGGATATTGTGTAGAAAAAACGCTTGTCATCGACTTTAGCGGATCCCTTACAATGTAATTAAATTTCGGCGATATCAAATCGACATGTTGCAAAAATACAAGCTATCAGCCGCTCCATTATCCAGATATTAGAGGCATTGTTGGTCGTGACAGCGATCACCAAAATTACGACAATCGATATTCTTCGTCACAATAACACAACAGACCCATTTACGGCAAAATGGTCCAGTCATCAGACTCTTAACGGAACTCATTGTCTTGGGTCGAGATTCCTTCGAGTCATCACCGTAAATTTTCCCCGGTTTTCTTCAGTACCCCGGTACTACCCCTACTAACGAGCCAATTAAACGCGCTTTTCAAACCAGTCAGTCTGACATTTGAATAGCCGCTTTTTACGTGTCGCTCCCTGACCTTAGAACCGGCCCAAGTACCATTAGTACCAACCCAAATGTCATTGTTATCTGACTCACCTTTCGCCGAAGATATCGCCAAGAACGCGAAAAACAGTAGCACTTTCACTAGCATCGTGTGCATTTTTTGGGATCACCACAACGGAAAAATCACTAGGTTAGGTCACTGCGAGCCGTCACTTGTGCGATCGAGAAACTGTTTGAAAGTGAAATGGTCACAGTGTTTGTGTCATTTCTTTGGCACGGTGTGAGTGGGTTGCTTAGCTAAGTGACTGAGATCAAACTGAGTGTGTTTAGCAGGTTTGGTGGGCTGTTCTCTCTCCACTCACCTGGTCATGCTGCCTTACCTCGCCTTGCGTTAGTGTCTTTCTTGTTCGCCGATTGCCTACCTGTGCTGTATACAGGATGGCTAAAATGCCCCGGCGGGGACACTGTCTGGGCTTTTGCTAAACTATTTCGTGGCTTCGAGGGAATTGTGGACCGCAGTAATTGGGGAATTAGACAGACGAGAGGAGACTTCGATGATAGCAGAGAACAGAGCATGCTGTATGTCAGACATAACTATAAAACAAAATTTTTTCGAGAAAGATTGTCTATTATTTTAATTTTTTTTGTTTTATATAAAACGCAAATCTGTGATAAAAAATTACTTTCAGTTCTTTCAAATTACAAATATTTTAACTTGTAATGTTACTTATTATTTTTTTATTCTTAGCTACCTAATAAACCTATTGAAGTTTTGAACAATGAATTTAATAAAAAGTAAATCAAGCCTTTATACTCGTATTTACTGAAATGAAAATCTCCACCCTCGTGCATAATCATAACAACTTTGTGCTCTTCTTTTCCAGTTTTACTGAAGCTTATTACCTGTTTTTTATTGGTTACACCTTGATGTCGACATACGCATTCAGCGCTTAACTACTTCTAATCACCTCCACGTAAAACCAGTGTTACACGTTTTCGCACTTTATATTTTTTGTTTTATCCAGTGATTTTGCGTGAAATCGACGTAAGTAATGTAAATCGATGAGGGCGAAAAGAAAAATATTAAACTACTTTATAAACCCCATTGTTTTGAGCTTCCATAGAAACTACAAACTGTTTTATACTGTTTTATTTTATTTTGTGTGTAATAAAATATACAAGACATCATATATAAATTAAATATCACGTGATTTTTTGAAGTTCTGATCTTGTCACTCAAGAATTTGTTGAACAAATTTGGCCAAAAAGTAGGTCGTAACTTGACAGAGAAAATGTAAACAAAGCACATTTTAGGTAATGATACCCATCTAATTTGGTGACATAATGTACAGCGGAAACTAGATCAGAAATTTAAAAAATTACACGGTATTAAAATTAACAATAATGTTTTTAAAAGTAAAAGAAAATTAAACTTAAAATTAAAATTACATTAAAAATGAACTTCGTCAATTTACTTCGAAGAATGTTGTGCCGAGTTCTAAAATGTTGTTTTCTAAACGATATGCATTAAAAAAAATCCTAAAGATGTTTAGAACGATCTTCCCTCGCCCCTAAAATACAACCGATTACACTATACTCACGTCATATTCGTGTCTCCATACTAAACGTGTACAGCATCCGGTCTGTAAATCAGGTCATGGAACCAGTAAACTTCGAGGAATCGAACGCTGATAACTTTAAGTCGGACAGTTAAACAGTTTTGGAGTTATGTCCCGTTAAATTAACATGTTTTTTGCTTCTTAAATGGCACCCGTCCCATATATACGGTTCTCTCCATACTAAACGGGATGAGTATCTATCCGATGTGAAAATCAGGCCGTAGGACTAGAAAACCTCCAGGAATCGAATGTTGAAAACTACAGGGCGGATAATTTAACAAGTTGTCCCGTTAAATTTAAAAATTGTTTGTTATTTATTAAATCTGAAAATTAGGGTGTGACTATAAAACTCCAAGGGATTGAATTCTGTAAACTATAAGAACTGAATTTTAAAACATATTTTAATTCCCAAGTGACAACCGTCCCATATATATTTTTTCTCTTTGCTAAATGGGACGAGTGTTCGGTCTGAAAGTCAGATCATAGGACTAGAAAACCAGGAAAAGAACGCTGAAAACTACAGGCCATACAATTAAAAAGTGTTGAAGCTATGTTCTGTTAAATTTGAAAAATTATTTTTATTTTCTAAATGACACCAGGCCTGTATATATTTCTTTCTCCATACTTAATGGGACAGTATCCGATCTGAAAATCAGGGCGTAGGATTAAAAAACTTCGAGGAATTGAATGCTGAAAACTACAAGGCGGACACTTAGACAGTTTTGGAGTTATGTCCCGTTAAATTAGAAAACTTTTCTTGTGTCTTTTACTTCTTAAATGACAGCCGTCCCATATATACTTTTCTCCATACTAAACGGGACCAGTATCTATCCGATGTGAAAATCAGGCTGTAGAACTAGAAATTCTTGAGGAATCGATTGTTGAAAACTACAGGGCGGATATTTAAACAGTTTTGAATTTATCACTCTAAATTTAAAAAATGTTTATAATTCCCAAATGACAACCGTCCCATATACGAGATATGTTTTTCTCTTTGCTAAACGGGACGTGTGTTCGCCCTGAAAATAGGACTAGAAAACCAGGAATTGAATGCTGAAAACTACAAGGCGTACACTTAAACGGTTTTGGAGTTATGTCCCGTTAAATTAAAAAACATGTTTTTTGCTTCTTAAATGACACCTGTCCCATATATACTTTTCTCTCCATACTAAATGGGACGAGAATCTATCCGATGTGAAAATAAGGCCGTAGAACTAGAAAACCTCTAAGAATCGAATGTTGAAAACAACAGGGCGAATACTAAAACAGTCTTGAAATTGTCCCGTTAAATTTAAAAATTGTTTTTTATTTTCTAAATGACTCGAATCCCTTATGTATTTCTCTCTGCGTACTAGGCTGGTACAGTATCAGGTCTGTAAATTAGGGTATGAAACTAGAAAACTCCGAGGAATTGAATTCTGTAAACTACAAGGTTGATACTTAAACCGTTCTTGAGTTCTGTCCTGCCAAATTTTAAAATATATTTTTAATTCCCAAATGACACCCATCCCATATATATTTTTTTCTCCTTGCTAAACGGAAGGAGTGTTCGGTTTGAAAATCAGGTCGTAGGTCTAGAAAACCAGGAATCGAATGCTGAAAGCTACAAGGCGGACATTTTAGTAGTTTTAAAGTTATGTTCTGTTAAATATGAAAAATTATTTTTGTTTTCTAAATGACACCAGTCCTCTATATATTTCTTTCTCCATACTAAATGGGACGAGTATCTCATCTGAAAATCAGGCCGTAGGACTAAAAAACCTCGACAAATCGACTGTTGCAAACGATAAGGCAGTTTTGAAGTTGTCCCGTTAAATTTAAAAATTGTTTTTTATTTTCTAAATGACTCCAGTCCCTTATGTATTTCTCTCTGCGTACTAAGCGGGTACAGTATCAGGTCTGCAAATTAGAGTATGAGACTAGAAAACTGCAAGGGATTGAATTCTGTAAACTATAAAATCGATACTTAAACCATTGTAGAGTTATGTCCCGACAAAGTTTAAAATATGTTTTTAATTCCCAAAAGACACTCGTCCCATATATATTTTTTCTTCTTGATAAACGGGACGAGTGTACGATCTGAAAATCAGGCCGTAGGACTAGAAAACCAGGAATCAAATGCTGAAAACTACAGGCCAGACACTTGAACAGTTTTGAAGTTATTTTTTGTTAAATTTGAAAAATTATTTTTATTTTCTAAATGACATCAGTCATCTATATATTACTTTCTCCATAATAAATGGGACGAGTAACCGTGTTGAAAATCCGGGCGTAGTACTAAAAAACTTCGAGGAATCGAATGCTGCATACTACAAGGCGCACACTTAAACGGTTTTGGAGTTATGTCCCGTTAAATTAGAAAACATGTTTTTCGCTTCTTAAATGACACCTGTCCCATATGTACTTTTCGCTCCATATCAAACGAGACGAGTATCTATCCGATGTGAAAATCAGGCCGTAGAACTAGAAAACCTCTAGGAATCGAATGTTGAAAACTACAGGGCGAATACTAAAACAGTCTTGAAGTTGTCCCGTTAAATTTAAAAATTTAAAAATTCTAAATGACTCCAATCCCTTATGTATTTCTCTCTCCGTACTAAGTGGGTGGAGTGGGCAAATTAGGGTATGAGACTAGAAAACTCCGAGGAATTTAATTCTGTTAACTATAAGGTCGATACTTAAACCATTCTAGAGTTATGTCTCGCCAAATTTTAAAATATGTTTTTAATTCTCAAATGACACCCGTCCCATATAAATTTTTTTCTCCTTGATAAACGGGACCACTGTTACGTCTGAAAATCAGGTCGTAGAAAACAAAGAATCGAATACTGAAAACTACAGGCCGGACACTTCAGCAGTGTTGAAGTTATGTTTCGTTAAATTTGAAAAATTATTGCTATTTTCTAAATGAGACCAGTCCTCTATATATTTCTTTTTCCACACTAAATGGGACGAGTATCCGATCTGAAAATCAGGGCGTAAGACTAAAAAACTTCAAGGAAACGAATACTGAAAACTACAAGGCGGACACTTAAACAGTTTTGGAGTTATGTCCCATTAAATTAGAAAACATGTTTTTGGCTTTTTAAATGACAACGGTCCCATATGTACCTTTCTCTCCATACTAAATGGGACGAGTATATATCCGATGTGAAAATCAGGCCGTAGAACTAGAAAACCTCAAGGAATCGAATGCTGAAAAGTACAGGGTGGATACTTAAACAGTTTTGAAGTTGTCCCGTTAAATTTAAAAATTGTTTTTTATTTTCTAGATGACTCTATTGCCTTATGTATTTCTCTCTGCGTACTAAGCGGGTACAGTATCAGGTCTCTAAATTAGCGTATGAGACTAGAAAACTCCAAGGGATTGAATTCTGTAAAGTATATATAAAGGTCGAAATTTTTAAATGTTTTTAATTCCCAAATGACATCCGTCCCATATACGAGATACTTTTTTCTCTTTGCTAAACGGAACGCGTGTTAGCCCTGAAAATGGTACTAGAAAACCAGGAATCGAATGCTGAAAACTACAGGCCGGACACTTGAACAGTTTTGAAATTATATTCTACTAAATTTGAAAAATTGTTTTTATTTTCTAAATGACACCAGTCCTCAATATATTTCTTTCTCCATACTAAATGGGACGAGTATCTGATCTGTAAATCAGGTCATGGGACCAGTAAAATTCGAGGAACCGAATGAAAAACTTCAGGTCGGACACTTAAACAGTTTTGGATTTATGTCCCATT